ATTTCCTCTCCTAGCAAAATGAATGTTAAGCACTTGGGTTGTCTGCTAAATTAGAGTGATGGTATTTAAATTCACTTACAAAACAAGTATTCAAAACTTTTTCCCAACAGTATTTATTCTTGTTTTCCCTTGCTTTAAACAGGATGCGGGCATCTTTGAGTAACATTTTGTTTTCTTAAAAAAAACCAAACAAACCCACAAAAACACTAAAATTTCTCATCCATTAAAAATATGAATAACAGAGATGAATTAGCTTGTAATGCGTATTTCTTCTTTATTTCATTGATCTTCTGAACTTTGTTTCTTAGGCCTCATACATCTCTGGTGCAATGGAAGGAAGAAAATACCATAAGCATGTAGAATTTATTTCTTCATCACCTTATATTATCTTTGAAAAGGTTTTCAAATGCCTTTAGCAGGAGACAGGATCATCCAGTGCTGAGAACTGAGCACTTAGATTTTCAACATCTTCATTTTTTTTTGAGCACTAGGAATAGCTATAACAGTGCTTTTCAGGTGGAAAAGCTGCAGATTATGACTGAGTCCACTTTAGCACTCAGGAAGACAAGAAATAGCCAGGTTTTGGGGGAAAAGTTTACAAAAATTAAAAGGCACTTCTGCAAAATGCTGAGTGAGTCCACAAAGGAATTAAAGGCGATAGATTAAGTGATCTGCTCCAGCAGCTGCAAATACTTCCATCATTTGTAGTAGGAAAGATAACTGTGTTATCTGAGATGCAATTACTCAGACTACTATTTCACCTCATTGTGCACTACATCAGTAGTAATTGTTTTATGACATCAAAGACCATACAGGAATTTGTCATTTCTTTTGTTATTTCACCCAGTGTCTGGATGGAATTGGGTGCTGCGGGAGAGAAGATCTTGGAATTAATAGTCTTGTCCTGAAAAGCCTGGGCTTTTAGTAAGTGAGGATAGAAGCTGCTTTCCAACACCATGTCATCTTCGCTATAAACACATGAACAACCATGCTGGGTCAGACCAAAAGTCCCTTTAGCACTCCATCACATACCTGACAACATTTCATAGCAGAGATCTTAATGAAAAAAGAACAAAACCAGCGCATTGTGTGTGTCCTCCCCACCCCCCCTGCAGCTTTCTGTGTTCCAGAGGGCCAAGGCAGAAGTCAAATCTCTACCTTCGACTCTGATGGATATTTCTTCCATTACTTTGTCTAATTAACTTTAGACCCCTGGTACTTTTGTGTACTGGACACTGAGGCAATACAATTCAAAATTTACTTAGGCATTAGGTGACAAATCACATCTTTTTATTGGTTTCAAATTTATTATTATTATCCATAATTTCATTTGGCAACTCCCTTCTTGGACCGTGAGGAACAATGAGTGATTGTTCCCTTTTACATTCTTGGTGCCACTCATAATTTCATTTACTTTTTATTAGAGTCTCCTTGTAACTTTCTCTTTTCAGGCTAAAGAGTCATAACACATAAAGTTTGTGTATTCAACCTTCCTTCAAGTGCAACCCTTTTGCTATCTGCTGTTTGTGTTAGCATGTAACACTAGCAGTTGCATTACACACAAGAGTTGTTGGGATGTGACCACAGAATCTGATTTTAATAGAAATGAGAAAACCCGTAGGATTCAGTTTTTTCCCCTAAATTTTCAACAGTGTAATCCTGGATAATTGTGGTGTCATCATGTGCTTCCCTCAGAATTAAGTATGGTTATAATGCTGCGGAAATGCATATTTGAGCAGGGAAAAGAGGGACTGCAAACAAACCTCACAAACACTTTCATTCAAAAGGACTCAAGCATGCTAAGTAGCTTGTGGAAAAAAAAAAACCACCTGCCCACAGAATTCTTTTTCCACATGACACTGTCCTGCAGTTTGCATTCAGCATTTATTCTTTCTAGGAGAGAAAAGAGATTTTTCATTTAAAGGCACTTTGAAAATCATATCTTGTCCTGATAGCCTGACCTGTCTCTGGAGGTCATGGGGAGTTGTCCTGAGCCCTCTCTGGGCAACGCTGTGCTTTCGGGAGCTGGAGAGGAAGGAATGGAGGTAAAGGACAGGCATTTATTTGGAGCAGCAAAGCTGGCCACCTTCAGAAGCAACACTGTGAGGGGTCAGCTCTCCACTTCTGTTGGTGCAACCAGCGTCACACCTGTGATGTACACTCAGTGAGAAGCATGAGTCAGTACTGAATAGGTGATGTTTTTGAGTTAGTCTAAACTCTCACGTGAGTCTAAATGCTTCCGGGGTTCTGTTCCTGTCCTCCAACTGGGTGGTAGATTTTGAAAGTTTGCATTAGACAGGCATAGTAAATACCAACTGTTAAAATTTGTAGTTCTTTTAAGACCTTGGACTCCAAATAATTTTTTATCACTATAAGAGAGGTAAATATGTGAGAACTGACAGTCAGCTTCCTTGCTATATGGATATACTCATATGCTGAGTAATTCTGTGTGAAGAAAATGCAAACCACAGTGTATTTTCACTTCTGTACATCAGTCTGTATAGATACATAGTTTCATAGTCCAGCAAGCAGAAGTTAAAAATGCTTTAATATAAGCTACAAATTGATAGCAGAAATTGACTTAATAATCTCCTTGTGGTGGGTGCTAGTATCACATGAAGGGCTGTAGAAGTCATGAGCATTTACATTAGTGATCAAAGGGAAGGCCAATACTCAACCTTGACAAACAAAGTAAGTTTGTCAGTGTCACTGAAGGACTGATGTACATTCAGGCAAGGCTACTTCAGTTTATGATGTTGCCAAGTGAATTACTTCCTGTATACAGAACACTCCATATTCATTCTTTTTCCTCTTTCAATTACCTCTATGGATACTTGCTATATTTGCACTAGAACTATTGTGTTTAAATGAGAGGCTGAGTCACAGCCAAAGTTAAGGTCGTTGTAGGGAAACTGAATTATATCCAGAGGGAAATTTGGCTAGAAAACCAGCACATCTGCTCCATCAAGGTAGAAAAACAATTCAAAGCAAATGCTACACTGGAATGTTCTTACTGGAGTTGATGATATAGCTAACAGAAGGAAAAAGCAATATATCATAGAATGTTAAGGGGCTGAAATGGACTTTAAAAATCATCTAGTCCCAAATTCCCCTGCCATGGGCAGGGACACCTTCCACTAGACCAAGTTGCTCAAGGTCTTGTCCAACCTGGCTTTGAACACTGCCTGGGTTGGGGCATCTACAGCCTTTGTGGGTTGACTCAGTTCTCTACTGGAAACTTCTAGAGTCCAGAAAAAACCATTGCATTTTCCCTTGTTTCATTAATAGAGATGGGAGGGGTTAAAATTCTTGTGCGTATGGATGGCATAGGAAAAAGACCATGTGTTGGGTGGTACTCTGAGCTCTGTTTCATATTCCTGGTGTAATTCAGCAAATCCTTTAAGAGATTCAAATATGTTATTTAGTCCACCCACCCCAAATGATTACCTTTCCTTCTGGGCCAGTCTTTTCTCTTTAAAATGTTACATGTCTAACAATACATGTCACAGGATTGTTATGATCCCATTAAGGACATTAAATCAGACTGAACCTTTTAGTTGGGAAACATTAGGGAAGTGTGGTACTTTTGTTATGACTGTTACCATTTCCTGTTGTAGTTTATGTGGGAAATGTGACAATTCAGTCTAAATAAATCCAATGAAATGCTGAAAGCTTAGTTTTTTAAAACAGTGTCTTAGAATTGCATTAGTGAGCAATTTACAGGGGACCGTTCTTAAAGGAAAGGTCCCCATACTATCTGTGCAGAAGAAAAAGATACCAACTCACTAATAGATCAGTGCAGCCAATGTATACATTCATGACAGACAATGCAATCCAACAGAAAAGATCTTTGTTTTGGCAATCCTTTTTCTCCTTTGCCCAAATACTACTTTAAAAAAAAATGTATCTATATCTTCATCTACATTTACATAATCTGCATATACAAACACATAGATAAACCAGTTTCCTGAAAGGAACCAAAAGACATTCTAATATAATCACATCTTCCCAGGCATGCCCAGCCTTACAGATGAATTCATCTCTCCTTGGGCTGAATCTTCTTGGTTGCACTTTCTAACTCTGATGACATAAGCATTGTCAGAATAACTGTAGCTAAGCAGGGTGGACAACCAATATAGAGTAAAATATTCATGTTCCTGTTTGAAGTTTTTCCAGAGGATTTCTAGAGAGGTATATGAGGACAATTGGATAGAGTGCCCTCTTTAAATAGAAACTGTCCTCTTACACTAGAAATAACAAAAAAGTTTTCTTGTCTACATTTCTTCCTCGGGATCTGTTCATTGTGAAGATGCACTTGTGGTATAACTACATAGAAAACAGTTACGTTTGTACATTCAGGATAATGTTAGTCAAATATAGCGTAATTATGAGGCCAAAGGATTATAAATATTTGACAGAAGAGGCAATCAGGTTCTAAACTGCACATATTTTGTTATGTCTTTGGCACCTCTCCATACGTAAGGCTATGCTTTTCATTGAAAGTTCATTGGGAGAAAAGGGTTTTTAAAATATAGTGCTCTTTTGTGTTTGGAGCATTTTCTTTGTTTAAACTCAAACCACATGGTACAATGCTGTTGCCTTCATAAGCAAAAAGATACTGAAAAAGCTGTTAAGCAAGGGTGATCAGAGAGCCCTACAGCAAAGAAACCTAATGGAATCTCTTGATCTAAACATGCTGGACTCTGTTACATGATCTTCTTGATGTCAGAGTTTAAATTCCAACTGGATTAGTCTGATTGCAATAGATGTTGATTTGTTCAGGACAGAATGATACTTCCAGTTGAGCCCATAAGAGGTATTGCCTTGGTGTGCCTCACCTTGCACCCTTTCAACAGTAAAGCAAAGCTGCACTACTTGCAGGAAATGAGGCTGTCTAAACCGATAACCTTCTTTCTACTTCCCAGATTATCTACCCCTTGGACAAAGGGGAAAAAGTCAGCATTTGACACTTTTCTTTTTCCTTTTTTTTTTTTTTCCAGATACGGAAGAGTAAAAATATATTAAAAAAGAGACTGGAAATCACTTTCGTCATTTTATCTGAGCTTCTTCATTCCTGTTCTCCTCCTTCAGCAAAGACCAGTTTCTGAGAAAGGCATTAAACAAACTTTGAAACACTCTTCCTCCCACTGGCTACTTCACAGCTAATGACTCTGGGTTCAAGGGTGGGGGCCTTGGTTTTTTTGATTCTTTTGTTTTGATTTGGTGTCTCTTTCCTTTTCTTTCTTTCTTTCTTTCTTTCTTTCTATCTTTCTTTCTTTTTTTTTATGTATGCATGTTTTTTGTTGTTGTTTTGGGAAGTTTTTTTGTTAAAAAATCAAGATCGAATTTCCTGATGCAAATGGTTCCATATTTCTGGATAGGTCAAGCAAATAGAAGAGGGTCATCTTCAAAAGCTAGTATTGCCCTTTGCTATGAGTCAGCTTGTGAAACCAACACTAGGATGATGCAAAAGAATATAAAAGAAATAAAAAAAAAAGAAAACTTGATAATATTTTACTTTTACTCTTTTCCTTTTCCCTGAGAGTCTTTTCCAATTGCTAGTAGACAGAATTTGATATCAGTTTTACCCTTGCTGTAGAAGATTTTCTTAAGAATGGTGAATTTGTGGAGTCATTTGATTATTCATTAGGGTTTGATATTATTCCCAGATAATACAATGATAGCAAAATGTTTTTGTTTCTGAACAGCAGGTGGACTCACTCAACCCTTGGTTTTGTTCTCTTTTTGCAGTTAGGACAGGAATAACCAATGAAAGTAATATTCCCTTGGGGCAAATTCTGTTGTCAGACTCTCAGAGTATGTATTAATATATGTCTTGATGTGCCTGCTTAACTTGAGATTGCAGGTAATTAGCTGTTACCCACATTTTTTCATGGGCCACTAGTAATAGTTGTTTGTCTGACCTGAAGATCTAGGAGAAGAGGGACAGCAGGGCATCACATGGATCAGCTCTTAACTTTCATCTCAATGTGGTCTTTCATCACTGACTGAATGGATAGGCCAAAGAAAAGGAAAAGTGTTGTTGTATAAGTATGGACAGACAAAACTAAAATAAGAATGTATGACAAACATCAAACACATATGTAAGTGGTTTTCTGGCTTGGGCTCTTGATAGGGATCCAGTTAATTGTATGAAATTTTGCCTGTCTATTCAGAAATCGAGATATGTACATGTACATACAACTGTTTTTGCTGAACAGCTTTCTGTTCAGGATGACTTCTTGCTGTGTTAGTCACATATGTATTTTACAAGGAATCAGACTCCTGTCATGGACCTTTTCTGTGTAAAGAACATGCAAAACATTGGCTTAGGAAGCTAAATATTTGTTTCCATTTCATGTCCAAAAGCACAGAACTTTAAAACCAGAGTTTGGGGTCTGTTCCTGCTTAAATTGTGCATGTACAGGGATGAGCTTCCTGTGACACTAGTAAAAATTACATCAGTGAACTCAACCTAAATCCACATTTTAAATGTGAATACCTTCTCACTTAAAAGTGTTTGTATCTGGGATTCTCATTATTGAGGCTAGAGACATTTTGAGTTCTTTTTTTGTACACCAGAGTTTAAATTTGTTCAAAGCCAGAGATTTAGATTATGTTCATGCTGCGATAAGGTTGCACTTCAATTACATGTTCAGAAAGAAGTACATGAAGTTGTTAGAATACGCAGTTGTCTTCACTGAACCAGCTCATTTAAATAAAATATAAGGGGATATAGTGTTCCTGTTCATGAGTTCCTGGTTCAGTAGAAGCTCTGGGGTAAATTTTTGAGGAAAGTGGAGTGCTGGGAGGACAGTAGCTCCACTGTCATCATTGAGCACATTCCATGTTGTGTGACAGGCAGAGGGCTGTGTCACACTTAGTGCTTTCCCGCCTCCTCTTTCCTCTCTTCCATCAGCGTTCAGCTCCAATAAAAGAAGAATATAACTTCCAGCTCTGACCAGGGTCTTTGAAGGCACACTGATTAAATATCAGTAATGCAGAAGTAAATGCCGTAGTGGTGACTCAGTCTCTGCTTCGTAAGATTTCTTCCTGAGATCAGCGGGAACATACCCTAACTGAGTGTTTGGTCAGAGGTGCAGAATGATTTAGTCAATATTTTTTAAGTTACCCTTACCTTTTATAGCGACTGAAGATGCCTTAGATTATGCACAGTAGAATAATAACAGTTGTAAAAAACACTAAATCTTTTTCTTCGTCTGTTTCTGACATATGTATTTTCTTTCTTTCTGAGAGAGACTTCTTTCAGACAGTAAGACCAAACAGCTTAATTCATGTCTGGTCAGTTCTTGTTTCTCATGCATGAGCACAAAGGTATGAAGTCAGGTTGGAAAATGTTTTTCCTCTATTACTGGGGTTATTCACTATTGGTGGGAGCTAATAAGGGAAGTGGTGAATTTGCTGTCTCTTGGGGACTGCAGATCAGAGTTGCCATTCTAGAAGAGATGCTATAGGCAAAGTTATTGGTCTCAGCACACAGGTATACAGCACAATGTTTTGTAATACATAGACAGTCAGCTAACATGCCCCTGTTTTTCACTCATCTGTGTAAGGTACAGTAGATTATTAGCATTCTTAGAATGTTTTGTTGTCGTGTAAAAAAAAAAATCTGTGTAAAATCTATTAGCTGGGAGAATATATAAAGCGAAATCCAGAAATTGAAACCCTACAAAGGAATTAGGCCGGGTGACAGTATCTATTGTGGTGTTGCCTCCCAGGATCACACCTACATTTCCTTACTTTGCCCCCGCCACCTCCCTGAAATACTCTGCACCACTGTGCTAGTGCATCATGAGCCAAAGGATGGTATGTTTAGACACCTCCCAGTAAAACTTGAGATCAGCCACTGTGCAAATGTGTAAAAAAAAATAAAAAATAATTTAGAAAATTACATAACTGCTTTCTCCTATTTTATTCCACAGAAGGAAACAATCAAAAAAAAGTGGAAAAAGATTAGGTATTCATCAGCTAATGGCCTATTTTTATAAAAAGTGAGAAAGTATTTCTGGTTTTACATCTTTACCTAACTTTCCCTGGATATATAGAAATTATGTTTTCAGACGCCTTCCTTTTCCAGCCTCAATAAGACTATACAAGCAATGAAAAAGCCAAAAAGTCTGCAAATATAGGGTCCATACCATTTGCCTCATGCTGAAATTTTACAGAATTATTTGGGAGCACCCACCTGTAGGCACAAAGGTGTCTTCTGGTGCCAGAGTGCTTTTTACAGAGGCTGGCATAGGCTAGGAAGCTGTGTGATAGAGATGGCACTCTTCTGCCTCTGCACAGAGGCTGCTAATGCTCTCCGAAAGCTCTGCCTTGCTGGAAGAGCACCATTTCTTCTGCTTCCCAAAACCTGTTGTATAATTTAGGAGGGGGGATCAGGCACTTTACCTTCTTAAAATAGAGAAGGATGCTATTGCAAGTATCCCTATCAGTGTTTTGTCTTTTGTCTGGGACTGGTGTTCAGGGAACTAGCAGACCTTTGACTCACGGTGACATAGTGCTTGAACTCCTGTACACATTATAATAAAAAAAAAGTGTCAATATGTTTTCATAGAATCAGAATTGTTTGAGTTGGAAGGGACGTAGAGTACATATAAAGGTTATCTGTTCTAACACCCCTGCAGTAAGCAGGGATATCTTCAACTAGATCAGCTTGCTCAGAGCCCCATCCAACTTGACCTTGAAAGCTTCCTGCAATAGGGCATCTACTGCCTCTCTGGGCAACCTGTTCCAGTGTCTCACCACCCTCATTGTATTCTGTTCATTATTTAAATGGCTCAAAGGGTGACAGTTCACTGGGCTGCAGTGATTTGAACCATGCATTTCTGTGACAATATGCAAGAACTATTCACACATGAGAAAGAAGGTATTTGTTTATTTTTAATTTTTTATTTTAATGTACAAAGCTGTGATGTGCCCTCTCAAAATACTGAAGTCAACAGCTTTCCTTACTGTTGTGACCCATCCAAGAAAGGGGGGGGCGGGTAACCAAGGTTATTAATAAATCCCTTGGAGTGGATTAGAGTGAAATGACACTAAATAATCAGTGTTTGTAAACATATATGTGTAGGGTTTATTTTGCAGCAATTTTATTTCAAAGGGTAAACAGGTATGTGGCCATTTTGGGTGTTATCATTCTATAGCAATACAGCAATATTAAAGCATCTATAGCAATAAAGCAACATTAGAACATAGCAATATGATACTATTAAAGCTTAGCAATATTAAAGCATAGCAATATAGCACTATTATTAAAGCATAGCGATATTAAGGCATCTATAGCAATATCATCTACAGCAATATAGCAATCATTAGAGCATAAAGATAACACTTAAGGAAATGCATAGGGGAGGAAAAGGGAAAGAAAGGATAAAGGTGGAAAGATATATATATATATATATATATATATATAGTCACCACCCGCGGGGTCCAGCGATGAAACTTGGTAGTTGCAGCTTCAATGTCTGTTAGTTGAAGTGGTGGTCTTGATCCGTTGGGGCTGGGAGAAGCACCCCACCAAAACTCAAAGAAGTTATGAGTTATTACATACTTCTAGCTCAGGTGGGAATACCTTGTATCTCCCTGGGGTGGGGAGTTAAACAATTGGTAGTGCCATGGGCCATGCCGTGAGCCTCTTCTTAGCCTCTTCCCTTGTATCTGCACCCATGATAGCTGGACAATGGCACCCACTTATCTGATCCTTCAGCAGTATTCAGGGGGTGTGGTTGGCTTTGCTGGATGAGCAGCTGCTTCTTTTCAGTTTGCAGACAGTCTTTTGGTGATCTTAGAATGTGTAAATCATTACCTGTTTCAGTCTCTGACATTTACAAATTATATAATATTTTTTCCAAATGTATATGGTCAGATATGTTTAATTATAAAAGATTATTGATATTACTAAATTTTCCATGTTTGAGAAAAAAGATAGATGCCAGAAGCTAATTTTTTTTTTCTGGTAATAAGTGGTAGATTTAAAAAAAAGAAATTTTGCAATTTTAGACTTAAAACATATTTCAGAGCAGTCAGTCTAAGCAGACTGATGTGCATCTGAAAGCGCAGCCTTTTGTATAGCTCAAGCTGGTGTAAATGTACTACCTATTAATACAGTAGGATGTTTAGCATCAGAATGAATCTGACATTTGTGAGTCTAGTTCCTGACAAGTGAATTAAGGAGGCAGATTCCTTTTTCTAGGTGTTTCTTTTTTTCAAGCATAAATTTTGTGATTGAAAAGAAGCTTTCCAAAATGTAGTTGATATATGCTGTGTTTCTGCAAACTACTCTTTGAGCATGCAAATGTTTGCATATGTACTTGCAAAGTCTTAGAAGCTCAATCTTACAAGCAAGTATATTTCAAACTAGATAGCTGATAGTGCTGTGCTGCTTTGTAATCAGAAGGTCCGTGAGCTCACCTAGCTAAAGGCAAATGTCACCTCAATTTGCTGTTAATCCTTGCAATTTCTGCAATGGCTCCCAAATCTGGCTTTTAATTAAAAAGCACAGTAGCCTATCCAAATTAGAAAAGACAGAACCTGACAAGTACAGTACTTATTTTGCTTTAACTAGAATAAACGGGTATATTTCCAGGAACTTGCAAGATGCTCTTAAATATTTCTTATTGTCCCCTTTTCCTTCACATTTATTTTAAAATAATGAAACTCCTCATCCTCTGATGATCCATACCGTATTTTAGCCATTTACACTCAGCAAATGACAGTATAATTGACTCCTTTTCTCTTACACTTTTTTAATCCTCACCTAACAATTAAAAACAGAACAATGCTGTGCTTTCACATGTGTGAAACCAGTGCTGATCTCAGAGCTGTGCTGGCATGGTGTCTGAACATCAGCACTCAAAAACAGAAATATGCTGGCTGAGGAAGAGAAGGAACCCTGTGGCACTGATTCCACACAAATTGCTTCAGGGAGTTGACATCAATGCTGATCAGATAGAAAAGAGGGAAAAAAACCTGTGCTTTCATATTTTAAGACATAAATTCTTCTTTCTCTGAAGTGGGTACAGAGGTTTTTTCCCACTTGTGTTACCCACAACATGAGCAGGTCTGCTCAGTCTCAGTTCAGTGTCAATTGTGCATCCTAATATGGTGCTTCTCCTGCTTCCATGGATAGACAAGATTTGTGATCCCAAATATCCCTTTTCCTGTCTGATTACTGTGGTCAAAGCAGGACCAGCGTGGGTACCACTGCCAATGACATTATTTTCAGTTAAAATTAAATGCTGTCTGTGCATTTTCACTTGCTGAGGCTGCCTTCCTGTTGCTGCAACATCCCTTTTGGCCTCTAGCAAGCACAGAGGGTTCTGCTCTGAAACCAAGCGGGACCAGGATGCAAGCCTGTCTTTGAGGCATTAGCTCTTCCTGCTCTGGGGACTTGACCATCAGATAAAAGGAAACAGAGCTACTCGCAAGCAAGCTAGATGAGGACTTGAAACTCAGTTTTAGTGAATTTATTTGCCCTCATACTTAGGCGCAAAACAGCGTGCTCTAACAAGCCTCATGGCACACTCTTGGCATTTTGTATTTTTTTATTCTTCCAAGCACATATGTATGGGTACTTACAACACCCTGGGTTTAGATGCTGTCCAGTGGCAAGAAGAATATACATTATCCCATTGTCTTTGTTGGTGGTTGTAGGAGTGCAGCTATGGGGTTTTCAAGTGAAAAAACCTAGCAGTAGAATGACAGAGGAGTATTTGATTTTCTTCTTGCTTGGATGATATTTTTATACACTCTTTTATGCAATTTTTAAAAATCTTTACAATTTTTATTGTAGACTTCTGGTTGGGTTTTTTATCAGGTCTTCAGGCCCAGATTCTCAGAGGAATATTTTGCTACCCTCTTCTCCTCCAATTGAAAAAGGTCATTGCATTTGCAACATCAGCTTAGAGCAAAATGACACCTAGGGCCTGACCACCCTTTTATTTGCACTGAAATCAAGGGAAGTTGCATGAAAAGTTCTGCTGGTCCCACTTCAGCATCTGGAGTTAAAGGCTAAACAACCAGAACATATGCAGCTCGCCACACACAGAGTGTTATCTGTAAAGCCAATACATCAGCGTGGGGCCATCTTCCTTTGCTGTTGTAGGAGCTTAACCACCTTGAGTTTCATAAACAAGAGACTATCTCTGTTCTGATGATGCTGCTTCTTGTAGGCACTTCGAAGTCATTCCACAGTGCACTGTCTACCTTCAGCAGGAAGGAAGGGTGGACACTATGGCTTATCTGTAACAGTAGATTTCACAGCTTTTGTGGTTTTAACCCTACAGTGACAGGTTCTAAATAAAATTAAGAAATATTAAACCTCTTGGTAGGAGGGATAAGAGGAAATTAACCAAATTCAAGGATCTTGGTCTTATAAAATAACATTTTCTTGCTGGCATTTTGCAGGAAATTCTATATATGAAGTTATATGTATGAAGTTTAGAGTATGTTAGCAGAACTGATGATGGAGATGTCTTTCTTGAACTGAATTAAAATAAACACTTGTTCTCTAGCATTTTTCAAGGAAGAAAAAGGTAGGTTAATGTGCTATTTTTCACCAGGACATAGAAAACAAACTAAAATACATGCTGACAGCAAGATTCAGTGCAAGTTTGCTCTTGGGACTGGGTGGGTAGAGTAATGAAAAAAACCTATTTGGCTTTTTAAGACTCATAAGGGGAAAAATAGGAAAACAAAATTAATGACACTATGTAGTAGCAAGTATTCTCAATTGTTCTGATTCAAAGAAATCCTTAAACAATATGTAAAGCACACTTTTATTATGGCTGGGGGATGCAGAGGGGTT